AGACCGTACTGCTAATGGCCCTTTTCGTTTTACCCTGCTCGAATAAGCTTCTCTCTCTGTCTCTCTTTCTCTCTTTCTCTCCCTCTTGGAGCACAGGGAGCGCTGCTTTCGGACCCAAATTGATTGGACTGTGAATCGTCCGGTTTGAATTATTCATACTTTGTCCGTCGATAAACCAATTTCTGTTCCGCGACCGAATCGAGGAGGAAAAGATCGTTGCTCGCCGCACGACGCACGAACGACCAACATCGGGGAACAAAGAGCAGAATGGGGACCAGCGACGGTGGCACGAACGTCGAATGAAAAGCGAGGGAAAAAAGGAGAAAGAGAAGAAAAGAAAAGAAGAGACGGGCGAGATGGAGGGAACGGGGAGAGGGGAGAAACGAGAACGCCGAAAACTCGAGAGGCGGCAGATCAGTTAACTTGGCCGATGGTAGATCATCGGACGACTTGCAACGACGTTTTCATTTTATCACGACGATGCAACGACGCGGAAGATACCTGCGAGGAGGGAGATAGTCGACGTCGCGTTGCTCCACGAGTTTTATCGAGCTGCGATGATCGAAAGCGCGGAGAGGAAGGAAGGAAGGAAGGAAGGAAGGAAGGAAGGAAGGAAGGAAGAAAGGAAGAAAGGAAGGAAGAAAGGAAGGATGGTGGCCGGAGTCTCGTTAAAATCTCTTCCTCGCTCTCTTTCCCCGGCGCGCCTCGTTATCGACACTCCGTTCGCCATTCCGGACGCGAATATTTTAATTTGTAGGTTAAGGACACGCGAATAATTAGGCACGCGACGTCGGCCGTGATGATCTAATTACGCGACGCGGTAAAGCCAATTCCGACCGCGGTGATAAAATGGAAAAAGACGCGCCCGTCTCGAGGGCTTCGAGAAAAGAGAAACGTCGGAGACGGCTCGGCAGGGGTGCAGAGAAGACCGGGAAAGAAGAGGAAACGATATTAACGCACCGACCACTCGAGATAGTCGCCCGGAATGGCGAACGTTACGAGAGGAGTCAATATATACAACAAGCCCGAATAACTTTCTGGGGGCGGTGTGCGGTGTGCCGCAGCCAGCAGCAGCCTTCCGATATTAAAGAATTGGCCAAGTTTCCAGTTTCGATAATAAAATCGCCAACTAATCGTCTATCCATCGGCGGAGAGGGACGCATTACGCCGCCGGAATCGTCGGCAACGACGCGAGAGAAACTCCATCCAAGTTTCGGCAGGAGCAATCGTACTTACGGATGGTTTCTCATCCCCGAGCGAGACAACCGAGTCAACACCCGCGATAAGAGGACACTTTTACTTGCACTCCAACGAAGAAAACCGCTCCCGGCGGTCGCTGCTTTTGACCTTTTGCTTTTTTCCCCCCCGTGGATCGAGCAATAGCGAGGGGGATCTTCCCGACAAAAGATTTATGAACCCCTCGGCAATGTCAGTATGCTACTTATTCTATCGTCGAGTGCGCACTCCAGGTCCGCAGGAAAAAAAAAAAAGAAAAAAAGAAGAAAAATGCGGGGGCGATGGTACGAACACGCGAACGATCCTCAAAGAGAAATCTTAAAAAGGACCGGCTCCTCCCCTGGTCTTCGATAGCCGAATCAATCATTTCCGAGCTCGCGAGCTCGCGCTTCTCATCTGCGAATGGTAACCAAAAATACATGGGTCGCGTTGTCATCGAGCGTCGTTCGTATCTAGTTGACGCAAATGTCACGAAGGGTCGGCGAGTCAAAAAATGTGAGCCGAGAGAGGGAATCGCGAGCGGGTGCAGCGAGTATCGCGCTGGTGGTAGGTGTGGCGACCACCTACCGACAGCACGAACCTGCGAAAGTGGAATTACGTTCGACGGTTCTCGAACGCGTAGCCAATTGACACGATTCCCAGTAATTTTAGCCGGTGGTTAGAACCGGGGTCAGGTTATACGTGCCAGGTCGCGTACACGGTATACTGAAACTAATCATAATGTATCCTCATCGGTCGGAGGCAGTGCTATGATTGGTCCGTTGCGGTATTCCTCGCTGCCAGATAAAGTTACCGTAATATGGATTAACTGCCCGGTATACCTCGTATTCCGATTCAACGCTCGTATTCGACCGGGGGATGCAGTAATGAACTGGTAACCAGCGTTGCTATCAACCGCATCGAGATTCGCGGTGTCTTTTAATAACGTATTCGCCAACGAATCCCCACGAGTTTCGATTTTCCCGGCGTCGAGAATCGTCGAAAACCATCTCGTGTTTCGCTCATCCCCCGTTCGAGGACGACGCGATATTTCACGGTCGCGTTGCTCTCTTGCGCCAACAAAATGCGTGCGCGAGCGTGCGGCGCCACGCGATACCGATTTTTAAAACGTCGTCGCGTCTCCGACGGCGCCGCACGTTCTCCAGTATCCGTGGCTTGATTTACGACGTTTGTTTTTCAAGCGGATCGCGGATGATCGTCGACGGGGGCGCTGCTCGCGGTACGGACAATTCGCGACGCGGTTCGTTCCTTCCCTCCTCGAGCATTGAAATATCGCCGTTTGTCGTCGGACTTTTTTTGCGCGAGCGTTTCGAAGCCAACGATCCGAGAGATACAGGCGTCAGGATGGTGAAAATGACGGGAGAGATTTTTCCAACCGCGACCGCCCCGTTCGTATATATCGAAACGAGAGAGAACGGCTGGCTAAAAACGTGAAACCGAAACTCGGAGAGAACGGCGCATAAACAGAATATAATCGGTGGATAATTGGCTAACGATGTTTCACCGTGTCACTGAAAGCCGCGCGCGGAAGAAAAAGTAAGCATTAGCGGTCCATGGAATCGCAATAAACAGCCGTGGAAAATGCTGCGTCAGCGCTGGGAACCGAGCGTCCCTTCGGATATGCCCCCATAACGGCAATATGCATTTCCCAGTGATTACAATTTCGGTTCTGCGGCGTGGTTTTCCCTGTTGTAGAATTAGCAGAAATTCTGACTCAGTGAGCAAAACAGTGCTGTTCCCGCAAGTGCCAGTGGCGTATTAATAACACGTGCTTCGTGTAATTTCAATTCCTGCTGCACGTTTCGTCGCACCGCGCTTCGATTCTCACCGCTATTGGGAAAATAACACACGAACGAAATTCATAACGGCCTAATGAGTTTACGTCTACCGACGCTCTCGTGTTTGCCGAACTGTCTCGAAACGAGAGAGAAAAAAAAAACAAAAAACAAACATGGTGCCTGTCGAGCATCTATTCTCGGCGTATCGCGTTCGAAAATTTGCTTTCGAAAGTTATCCGCCCCTTGTTTTCCGCCGTCCGATAGTCTCGCGTCCCCTCGAGAAATCCACGCCGCCTCGAGAATCTCTCGAGTCATTTTTCACCCTTTAACGTTACTCGCCAGACGAGTGTAAAAAGAGCTAAACGTCCGTCTCGTTAATGCCCGATAAACACGAGGTTCCAAAGCGTGCTACGAGCGCTACGAGTAGAGTCAATGCCAGGAGTTCATCAGTGCAAAATCGACGAGAAGGAGCAAGAAGAAGGAATAAAAGAGAAAGAGAGTAGAACGCGTCTAATGCGTTTGCACGGATGAAAGATCCAAAAGGGAGAAAGAAAGCGCACACGGTGAAGCGCGCGTCTATCGGTCGACTATCTTTGGAACAACGTCACGAAAGCTTTTCACACGAGCGCGACGCAGCGTGTGTGTGTCGCTACGTGTGTCACGAGAGTGTGTAGAAGAAACAAGAGATAGGGGTACGTAGAGGCACGCCGATGGAACAGCTCGCTCGCAATTTATATCTCGTCCCTTCTCACGCCGAAATATCGCGGAAAGAATGATGGATACTGGATGTCGGTCGCGTACCGCGACTGCGAAACACGCGGAGTGCCGTTAAGGTCGAGTGCCTCGCATGTGGGACACTCGGTACTTTTTCTTCTCGTTCCTGCAGTCTCGATGCTTCGCCCTTGACAACGAGCCACCTCGCTATCGCCGTTGCCAACATCTTTCCATCGTTCGTTCGTTCGAATCGAAGATATCGATCGGTCGATCACCAAGGGCTCGTTACACCGTCGTTACGACACAATTTAATCCGTCACGCTCTCCGAGCACCGGTTTTCTTTTCTTCGCTTCTAATCTCTCGACGGAGGAAAGAGAAGTGGGCGAACGAAATTAATCGGTCGAACAATTTATCCGGCTGACACACTGCGAACGATATCGACGACGTCCACGAATAACAGCCATAGGCGTTCTTCCAGGAACCGTACGGTTCTATATCGCGCGCACTTTAATCATTTAAACGGGACACACCGGCGGTCGATACCTTTATATTTTTTCCGAGTATCCACCTCGCGGTGGTACGGTTATGTCACTGATTAGGGTGGTTTACAATCACCGGGTTACACACACACGGCTCCCTTTGCTACGGGGGTGAAACAATACCCGAGTGGGGGAAGGTCCATGACCCTGCACCCGGTGCAACTTCCGTTCCGCATCGTTGTTCGGCTACTCGACGCGCACTACCCGAGCAAACGAGAATATAAAATTACCTTCTCGACCGTAAAATAACCGAGAGAGAAAGATAGAGGGCGAGGGAGAGACGGGGTAGAGCACCTATCGCAAGTATTTTAATTCGCGTTCGAGCATAATCGGACGAACGCTGTTTCTTTTTTTTTTTTTTTCGTTAACCAGGGACATTGTAGCTCTCTGTGTTCGATCGATGAGCCCGAGAGTAAAGGTATCTATAAATATAAATTCTCCTCCTTTTCTTGGAAAACGCGATTGTGTCGTCGCGTACGCGATGGAAAAACATCGCGCACGAGAAGTCTCTCCGATCAACTAGAGGACGACTGTTATTTTGCTTATCATTCGCGTGCGACGACAGTTCGTCACGACGCGTTAACCTTGCTTTCGTGCAGCCCTCTGAACGTTGACCCGCGACACGCTGTTGTGTCAACAGGCTTACGATGTTCTTCGACGAAGAAGAAAAAAATACCACCGGAAACGCAAACGCAACCACGCAGAACAGTAAAAAGATTCGTAAACACTCACCAAGCTGGACGTACATCTTCGGCCTGATGTTCTCCTGCCATGCTGCGAGGACGAGGGTGACGGTGGCGACAACGCACCAGCAGGATAACACGGGGTGCATCCTCGTTTCCAAGATGGTACGACGCCCCATCTTCTCTCGGGTGGTTCGAACGACGACGCCGAAAACGTGCCAGGATTCGCACTCGCCCCCCCTTCCGGTGTGGATCACGTAAAGGAGAAAGAACCTCCGGTAACTCACGAATACCGCACCAACCACCGGCACTCTTTACTCCCCGTTAAGCACAGGCTCCAACGTAACAGCGGAAGGAGAAAGGACGTGTTTCTATCACTCTCTTTTTCCTCCCTTTCTCTCCACTCACTGCAGCAGAACGTGCGAGGGTGCCGCAGTCACGTGCAGCGTGTTCCTCGTCGTTGTCGCAGCCGTTGTCCTCCGGCTCTGCTCACGCATGTTTCCCTGCGGACGGCCGGCTTCCTGATCGCGCACATTCACGAGATCGAACGCGGCGGCGGCGTGTCCGCACGCACCTCGACGGCTCCGAAAATCGGCCTGCGATCGAAAAAAGGACGACAAGGGGTGATTGCGCGAAGGGAGAATTGGAGAGAGACAGAGAGAGAGAGAGAGAGAGAGGGGGGAGAGAATGAGAATGAACGCGAGAGAGAGAGAGAGAGAGAGAGAGAGAGAGAGAAGGCGTGTGCGTGTTTGCGTGTAAGAGAAAGAAAGAACGTAGGCAACGATGAATCGGAGCACGAACGTGACGACGTGGATGTATATGTGTACGTATATACGCGATCGTGTGCGTCTATCCCGCGAAACACCGTCCCGGTCAACAACTACGAAACACACCACGAAACGATCCGTAACCCGCGACGATCGGCGTCACACTGACACCGCGCAGCACCACGACAGGTGACACGCGCCCCCCCACCACGCTACGAAATCCCTTTCGGGAAGAATCGGCCGGTTGTACGCGCAGCCGCGTCGATAGCGCTCTGCGCTATGTTCTCTCGTCTACTCCGGGTCGCATGTGCGTGGATACGCGCCGCCACTGCACGCACACGCACCTCTTACGCACGTGTAAGTAGGAGTAAGAGCCACCACCAGAGAGAATAGGGGGCAGTGGATGGAAAAAGGGGAAGGAAAACGAGGGGAGATAGAGGCATACAGGAGACACCGATTTTCAACCCCACCACCCCCGCGACACGATCACGCCGCCGTTCTTGTCGACGTCCACGTCGTCGTCGTTGTCGTCGTCGTCGTCGTCTTCGTCTTTGTCGTCGTTCTCGCCGTCCTCGTTGATATCTCGTCGACGCTACTACAGCGCCTCCAACCTGTAACGTGAAAAAGAAAAACAGGGGCTCGATTATTTGTTCGATGGCGATGCTTTTTCGAGAAAAAAGAAAAAAAGAAAACGTCGTCTCAGTCGAGCGATAAGCGCGACATGCATCGATTAAACGAGAAATGGCCGTTTAAATGCTAATGTATTCCGAACGGTTCGTCTATCCGTTCCTCCGGTAGATTGTTTTCCTTTCTTCGCGATAACCTTATCGTTCCACCAGTTGCCAACCTGCTACGATTACTTCCAAGTTCAGGTGCTCGGAGCTCGGGGGTGAATTCACTCGAACATACGAGGCACGAGGGCCATTTGAATTATTACCAGTTGTCCCCCGTTATTTTTCACCAGATTCCTCGGCGTTATATTTCTTGACCTGGATTTCAGCGGAAACGTTTGCGCCAGCACGAATTTTATCACGCTTTATTCGCTCGAGGGTGCTGAGAGGGCGTAATAAACGCGCGACTAACGATCACCTCGTCACCTCGTATCTAACACCGAGCTACACCGATAGCTTTCGCAAAAAGATGGACTCCTGCCCTGCCGCGTCGAGGAACATCAAAACGCAGCGTTTGTTTAATCACTTGCGCTGGCAACTGATTGCGGACCATAACGAGCGACCAAACCGTATATACAATTCCTTTCGAACTCGTCGGTATGACATCACTGGATAGAAATTATTGAAAAGTAATAAATTTATTAATTGTTCTGCCTATTTTGTTTTACTTAAATATACTTAAAACTGAGAAAACATTGCAATTTTGGCAATTTCGGCACGTCATTCCAGCGCAAGAGATTAACAAAGAAAGTTTACCATCGACGCTCATACTACGCACGAATCATTTCCATCGGCTTCCAAACCTTTCTCTCTCTCTTCTTTCCCCATTCCATTTCTTACTCCTACTCGTTGCTTTGCCGTGCTACAAACCGTATTTTACCTGAACCGGAATTACTCGACCTCAAAATTATATTATAACGCAAGAAATATTTGAATAGCATCCATTCTCGGAAAATAACCAAGAGGAGCTTAATTTTGCACGAGTCTTAGACAGAGAGGAATATGCCCCGGGACATTGTCAGGGAATCTGTGGGGGGAAAGAAAATTCGCGTACGAAAGAAGGGCAATGAAAATTCGCACGGTGTTTCTTTTTTGCGCGATGCGATTGCAACGTTGTCCGAGCATCGGTGAATTTTTGTCACAATTGTCCGTATGCAACGGCGGTGATTGCAACGTCGGCGACGTCGACGGTGTTCATTAATTCGCTGAATTAAAAGTAGCAGGGTGTACACATCGAACCCCTAATTCCTACGCTCGTGATTGGCCGTTGCGACGTACGTACAGCGGGGAGTGCATCGTGGCCACCAGAGTTTGATGCGTTTGGCGAAGACCATCCCTCTCTGCACGTATCTCTCTGTGTATATATACGACGGTTCGCTACGTGCGCGCCTTTAAACGTTATTCAGTTGGAACGGCCAGCGATGCGAAAGAATAATGGACAATGACCAATGAAATATTAATAAAAACTAAAAGGAGGGCGAAAGCTTTTGCTGACAGCGAGGAATAACCGTAACGACTTCTCGTTATAGTCTCCGAGCGTATTTTTCGAGAGACAGACAGAGAGAAAGAGAGAGAGAGAAAGAAAGATATAATTTCCTCGCTCTGCGTCTACGCGTCTACTGCGCCAGCAATTTCACGTGCATTTTTCGTAGCTTTCAGCAATCGAACATCCGTTCGGCAATTAACGCGATTTATCGTCGCGCGTCTCAATGAAAATAGGATCACGCGATAACGCGATATATTTATTCGTTCGACGACGACGCGACGGGTGGTGTGGCACGAGATCGAATATATCGAGCGATCGCTGCTGACTCGCCCGCCGGAAAGAACTATCGCCGCAGACAAGTTCGACAATGTGTCATTGAATTATTTGTCCGTCACGCTGGAAAATGGAAAGCCCACTTTACATGCCAGGCCGAAGGAGCTTTCATCCTTGCCGATTCTTACTTAAAAGCCCGTGCGCTGTGCGCAGTCACGATCAAAGGCAATGGAAGGGAGTAGACGTTATTCCCAAAGAGGTACGAAAGGGTGCGTGTAAGGAGAAAGAATCGAAGGGAGCGCGGGAGACACTCGCAAAATCATCCCTCGGGACCGACTTTGTCCAAACGCGACTATCTCCTGCTTAACGTTACACAGTTCGCGTTTTCTCTAGGTGGAAAAACGTCGGTCGCAATGCACGTCCCTCGGAGAGACGTAGAAAGACAAGAGAGAAAGAGAGGAGAGAGGGGGGGGGGAGGATCGATATTCGACCGACTGGAGATGAAATCTCTGTAGGACAAGGATAGCGGAAGATGGTAGAGACTAGTTAAAAATACAGACAGTGTGTCATTTAATCTTTAGAGAATCATCGCGAATACGCAAGCTTTTTGACAACAATTCGCAAAATATTATCCGTGTGCACAGGGTATTGAGACTGTACGCGAACGTGCGCTAGAACTCCGTTAACTTTCGATTACGACGGCCGGCTACCGGAGATGAGAGATACCGGAGCGCTCGAACCGATTTTCACGCGAAATAAGTTCTTTCGTCGCGCGCATTTCCATTTACCGTCGGACAAGCAGAGAGAGGTTAAGTGTGTTTCACCGGCGGCATAGGGAATGTAGGTTAAAAAAATAAAACCCCATAAAACTGTCCGGTGGGAGTGCTTGCCAGCGATTCGATTTTTGGCGGGGCGACGAGGCAGCAACGCGGGGAGGAAAGGGGGCGGAGGAAAAGAGTAGCGGCAGGCTGTCCGTGTTCCCAGAAAAAGAAAGGCTGCCGGAGAGGAGAAGAGGACGAAAAGGGATCGATAGCCGAACAACGGGCAAAAACTCCCGATGGAAAACGCGTGGAAAACGTGGATACGTTGCTCTGGCACTCGTCACGAAGGGTGAGAGAGGAAACCAGAGAGAAAGAGGGAGAGAGAACGAGAGAGGGCAGAAGTCGCGGCAGCAGCCAGCCGAGCGATCGAAGGGCGTGGAACAAAACCCAATTAAGTCCGTCCAAGTCCAACTTCCGTCGGGCCGTTACATGGAAAACATTTTTCTGGGTGAAACTGGTTAGGCCATTTAAGCTGAGTTCGCGTATAGCGAACGGACCTATCGTCTCTGAATGTCGGCTTAAAAAAAAAAGAAAAAAAGAATAGAATGAACAAAAAAAAAAAAAAAGAAAAATTGGTACTGGTTGGTTAGGCTCGTTCGAATTTAGTCCCTATACGCGAGTTCACCGCAGAGAGGATGCCGAGAAGACAAAAAATTTATTGTTTCGATCGAAACCGCGTGAAATATTTTAATCGGTATTAAAATAGGGGTGTGTTCGTTTCTTCTGTACCGAATATCGGAGTTCGATGACGTTTCATTTGCCTCCATGGAAAGATATTCGAGGTAAAGAAACTCTCACGCAGAATTCGCGCCTTTCTCAACGAATTATATTATATTCGTTGAATTTACCGAGACATATTTAAAATGTATTGAGAATATAAAAATTTCGCGATATCGTTGGTCAATAGTGACGAAAATTGCACGTTTGACCGAAATCCTTTGAGCTAAGAAGGATGGATGACCTGGAAGAGAGACATCCTCAGCAATGCCGATGTACGCTCGTTGCAAAGAGCTCTGCACAAACGGAACTCGCCGCTCCTCGGCAAAATACTTGATGAATCTCCGCGGAAGCGTTTTTATCGGCGTTACCGCCCCAGGGGGGAGATTCGAATTAGGTATTCCTCTCACGACTCTTTTTCAGGCCTGTCCCTCGTCACTCCTCGGCTTCAAGCATCCGACCTTCGATTAAAAGTGTTTCGATTCAAAGTGCTCGACACCGCGATGGTGGGATCGATACACACCCCGGTCGAGAGACAAGAAATCAAAAAGAGTGCAACGAACCGCGGAGGAAGATCCTCCGCCGAACAGCGAAAGTTAAGCCAACCGTCGCCAACTTCTGTAACACCACTGCTCGCAGTCGTCATTCCCGTTTATCCCCGACGATATTTTCGTTTGTGATTTTTAACCGAGACCCGTCTCGTGGTCTCTCTCCCCGAGACTTTCGAGAAGTGAAAACTGCCAGAGTCCGCGTGGACTCGGCGAAACTTCGATTTAAAAACTCAAACAACTTTGACCCAGAACGAGGGAGCCCACCTCGTTACCGGCCGATTAATTCGAAACGACTTAATTGGTGTATCTTCGCGTTGTCGAGCGCTCGCCCGACACATTCGTGCACGTTGAAGAAAGTTTTTTAATCTGTTACAGGCCGACACGGAATCTTTCCTTTAATCGTCGTCGTCGTCGTATTTTAATCCGGCGTATTTTATCGTGACTCGGAAGGCACGATCGCGATCGCGCGCGAGTATCAACTTTTCGGTCGCCACGGTTCGATAAATTTCCATTGCGATACTGCATCAGAAACTGAAATCACAAAGCGGTGAAAGCCTGCCGCGGATTGGAAACCACGCGTGTACTTGTACGCGTATAACGTCAGCTCTGTGAAACTTATGCGTCACGTGTATGTATAATGTATATACAGACGGTTGTAAAGATCACCCTCGGGATAATACGTCAGTCTGGTTGCTCTTCTGAGATTAGCGTGCTCGCTAATTAGCACGGGTATTACAGATCCCGGGAACTCGAATTGATCCGGTTCGTTTTATCGGAGTCGTCTCGTAAACATGTCAGCGGGGCTAGTTCCGCTAAATTGGATCCGTGTCCTGCTTAAATTCGCTCGATCCGCGCCACCTTCCTCGGATAAAGAAAAATAAACGAGGTAATAATCAAGCCTCGTGTTCTACCCGTATATTCTTGCTCCAGACTGCCTTTCAACCAGCCCGGACTGTTGTCCTTATTTTAACCGTCGAATAATTAATCCGCTTTCTTTTCTCCTTTTTTTTCTCTTTTCTTTTTCTTTTTGACCCCTTCTCATCCTCTTAATACCTGAATTCTTTATCAGCAGTGTAAAAGCCAAAAAAACGT